GAAGTTGTTGCTTGTTTGACTGAGTCCCTGGTTCTTTGACACCATGCCACAGTATTTTCTGTCTCAGTCATGGAGTACTAGGATCAACAACTATTTAGAACAGTTAAGGTTTTTTGGCTATAGTGGTACCAGTAGCCTCAAATACAACCTAGAAATTGACAAACTGAGCTAACCCTTAATTTACAACTTTTAACTGTATGAAGATTGTGGTTATATATGTAGATTGTGGTTATATAACAAAATGTAAGACAAACCAGAGAATTATATGCAATATAAGTCCTTAATACATCAATTTTGCTCTGGGGGTTAAAACTTAAAATGGATTAAGGAGAAAATAGAGAAGTAAAAGAGAAAGAATTTAGAAGTAATATTGGAGAACAAAAGGGGATCATGCCAGCTTTGGGAAAACTGGTATGGAAGACTGAAGGAAAAGAGTGATGGAAGAGATAAAAGGAAAAATAGAACCACACCGACAAGGAGGTTAGGAACCACTTTCACACTCATATAAAAGGCATGAAGGAGAAAAAGGAAAACTGTGCACATCCGGATTCTTTGTGGATTCACTAGCAGACAACCCGTGGAGATGCAGTCTCAAATCATGCTGATCTACTCCATATTCTAGCAAGCCAGCAGTAGCTTTTTGGCAGGGTAGTGGATAATCTTAGCAGGCCTGCCCTGAGATCAGACTCATCAGGCTTGCTGCAGTCTAAGCAGTTTCCATGGTCTGAGCCCAGGTGGGAGCTGCTAAACGAAGCTGGCAGCAGTTCTTGGTTCTGTGCTCAGCTGGCCAGTCTCCAAAATGGCTCCCAGCTCATCACTTTCTTCCACAGGAGGACTAGGTCCTCTGCACTCACCAGCAGCCAGTGCAGTCCTCGACATCTGCTGCTCCCCTCCACTGCCACATCTCTCTGCAGAGGCCTCTGAGGTCACCAGCCATCGCCATTACTGCAACTCTGTGTCTGCAGGTTCAGATACCTTCTTTCATGCAGTGAGTCATCTCCAGGAGAAGGTACCCTGGCTATCACTTTCTTCTTCTCAGTAAAGTTTTTCTTTTCACTCTCCGTGGGCTTCAGTTCACACTTTAGATTCTTCCTGGATCCAGGAGGCCCACTTTCCTACTCCTTGTCTTCCAGCATCTGGATGGTGACTCTTAAAGAGGCTGTTTTCTCTGCTCCTTATCATTTTCCTGAAACTCTGAAACTATTATTTTGAATTTTAACTGCTGTGTGAGATTCACCATGCAGTTGAGTGTAATTGTTTATATTTTTTCCACACTGAACCTTCAACAGTTCATCCATTATAGTTTAGGCCTCTCTACACCTAAAATGGTTCTCAGAGATTCTCTGTAGTTGTGATTCTCTGTATTTACCTGTGGGTCTTCAGTTTGGCGTTAATGACTAGCCATCAACCTTGAGACTTCTCTCTTTGATAGATCTAAGAAAAGTTACTAGCTTTTTGGATTGTTCAGCTTTTTATGTACTGAGGCAGAATGGCAACATTCAAACTTTTTAAGTGCTAAATGAGAAATGCCAATACTTTTTCCAGTACTGAGTATTGAACTCACGGTCTCTGCACTAAGCTGCATACCCAGTCTTTTTTTTTTTTTTTTTAGGACAGAATCTTGCTAAAGTTTCCCTGTCAGTGTTCAGACTCCTGCCTTAGCCTCCCAGAATGTCAGAATTAAAGGCACATACCACCGTAGCCAACCTTAAATTTTTAATGTGATTTTTATATACAGCAAGCCAACACCCTCATTCATAGTTGGCTAATAATTCTCTTTCCCCATGATCTATTTTAATTTTGCCAAGTAACATTTTTTAGCAGTCTTTAAAATGATCCTTTTGTATGCTCTGAAAATGGCATTACCTTGATCACATTAACTGTTTCCTAATGTTTTAGGCTTTTATCTCATCTGTATTTGACTTGATTGCTAAACACCAGTTAGTCATGATGTGTATGTGATTTTTGGTACATGTTATTAATTTAATTTTGATAAATATCAATTTTGTACCTATTCATCAATAATAAAATGACTGAGGTAATATTTTAATTTCTTATGTCAGGTTTTGGTATGTAAAGCTTAAAAAAATTAGATGAGTAATGTTCTTTCCCTTTTTTCTTTTCTCTCAGGAGGCCTTAGAGATAATAAAGATCAGTTTTTGAATCAGTAAAGTTATTTTAGACATGTCTAGAAGTTTGAAGTACAGGTTATAGGAAAAGGGTTTTCTGGTCACTTTGGGGTTTTTGTTTGCTTTTTTAACTTTTATTTTATTGGTAGATTTTGGATATACATAATGATAACATTTATCGTAGAGAATTTGTACCTGTATGTGATAAATCATTTTTCTTCTTTCTCGTCACTTTGAATTACAAACTCCAGGAATCTGTACATTTATTCTGAATGTTAAAATGCATTAGCATAAAGACATTCCCATATCTTTTGCTTGTTAACTGTTCTTTTGGCTCTACTTCCTTGCTTTCTTTAGACTTTTTGGTGAATTGTTTTTATTTATTTTATTTATTTATGTATTTTGGAGGCAGGGTCTCACTGTGTAGTTCAGGCTGCACTTGAACTTTGTAGCCCAGGCTGGCCTCAAACTCACAGCAGTCCTCCCACCTCAGCCTCCCAAGTCCTGGGATTACAGGCATGCACCATGTGCATGGCTCAGTAAACATTGTTTCAACAAGCTAAGATACGCTATTTGTAGAAATGAAATTACTGTGTATATTGAAATAGTTTTAACAATACGGAATATGTAATTTGGGGAAATACTTGAACTTCTTCCTACTTCCTATGTATCTCCTGTTTTTCTCTGTGTGTGTTACATATTATTATATATTTTATTTTTTGCTTAATTTCAACTTCATGATATTGTTACATTTTATATTTAATGCTTATTTACCTTTGTATACATTTTGCTAACTTGTTTATGCATAAATCTTTAAAACCTTTCATATATTATGATCTTGTAAATGTCTGAAATATTCTTTTTGTTTTTTCTTTAATCTTGTTTGAGATTTAGATTGTTTTGCTTCACTGGACTTTTTTTTAACTAGTATTAGAGAATTCTAACATTTTTTTTCCCTTCAAATACTATCTCTAGCCCATTCTTTTCTAGAGTCTCAAATTTAATTATAAATGTGTAAGTCCTTTTTCCTGTATGCTCTTTAGTCTTGCAAGCTTTCTATCTTTTTGCATTTTTTGCCCTATAATTAGGATTTTTTTTTCCCTCCAATTTCATTTCCAGGTCACACAGTTTTCAACTTATATAATCTGTTATTAAGTTAACCCACTGGATTCTTAATTTCAGTTATTACATACTCCCTTTTTAGAAGTTTTTATATTTTGTAATGAAAAAATTGGGCCTTTTTTTCTTTTTATGTGTCCTACAGATAATTTTCAAGCACCTTTTTTATTTAAATGTAATAAACGTAATTGTTTTAATGACTTTTGGTTTTTTAATAAAGTAATTCTAATATCTTAAATCTTTGTGAATCTGTTTCTATCCTTTTAATTTCTTAAGATATGTTACATCTTTTTTAGGTATACTATCTTTGTGTGCTATTCAGCTTTGAAAATTACTTGTAGGGATAAGGGATACTTGTAGGAATGACTAAAGTGTAGGTCCCTTTTCAAGACGGAATTTTTGTTTGCTTTGCATTCATACAGCACTTTATGCTTGTGACTTGAAGTTTGTTGGACCACTGGGTGTTGGAAATTCAAACTACCAATTCGTTCTTTACTTCAAAATAATAGTCCTTTGAATTCCTAGTTTATGTGTAGAGGGAGAAGATATCTTAGAATTACTACTTTGAGTGGGTCCTGGGATCTGATTTCTGATTCAGACTTCTCTGATACCATTCAAACCAAAGCTCATTATGTCCTTGCATTGACGGATGTCCTGACTACTTAGGTTGTTACTTTTCCTTCATTGACCCAGGGATTATGGTTTTGAAGTTTTTTGGTTTTTTTCTATCATAATTTAGTTGCTTTCAGTGCAGAGGTTTACCTAAATAACAATAACTGTTCCCAGAAGTAGACATAGGATTTAAAAAGAAAAAAACACTTGAGATCAGTGATCTATAGAAATGACTATGTAGAGGAATGCTTCAGTAATTTCATCAGTGACTTTTAACGGAATTTCTTGACCTATGTAAGAATTATAATAGTTTCAATCATATCAATGATAAATTTCTGGTATGTGAAAGTTTATTGTGGATTTACTACTTATAAAGTTCTCTGTCAAACTTTATTTTGTTTCTTTTATTCAAGAAGACTTAAGTCTCATAGGCCTCGTAGGCCTCATATATGTGTGTGTGTGTGTGTGTGTGTCTTGTCAGTCTAAAAGTAGATTAGGAATAGTTTGAATGTGCTTTGAGTAATGAAATTTTAGAAACTTTAAGCTAAAATTACAGGTCTAATTGATTTACTATGCCAGAGTGTTTACTCACTATTGCTCAATCATATATATTGCATGTTCAAGCTGCTTTTAGATTTTGGAGCTTTTAATCTTAGAAATAAACAACAACAAAAATTCTTTCATCTTTTCATGTGTGTACATACTCTTTACATGGTCACAACTGCTTGCTGTGCATTTTTAATCCACCTTTATGACACATGGATATTTTAGTCTCAGGACAATATTCAAATGATCTGTAGGTTTGGTGTTAGCTTTTATTCTTGTAAGAGGGTGGGGCTGGCCTCAGAAGTATCCTTCTTGTGTTAGTTGATACCCAACTGTTAATTTAAAATGTAACAAAGAAATACAGTGACTTGAAGGTGATCAACCTTCAAATAATGACCAGCTCCAAATTAAGAAAGCTACTGTCTCCTGCCTTACCTTTTTGGTTTACTAGTATAAAATACAAAAGTATATAGCCTAATGTAAACATGCATTCATTGGTTCTATTAATAAAAATGATCACTAAGAGATGATACATACACATGTTTAATCATAGTGTAATCCAATTTTCATTTTATATCTGCTTTTTTCTTATAGTAGACCCAAATGATTTGTACATCGTAGAACCTCTCAAGTTTTCTCCAGAAAAAAAGGTAATAGCTCTTTCGAAGTTTATTGATATGTTAAATGATAGTAAATGAAGATGTAAATTGAAAGATATGACATAACCTTTACTTACCATTTATTTTCAGAAATGTTTATAGTGGTCAACAAAATATGAGCCGTACACTATTGTGGCCTATTTTGTATGAGGAAGGAGCCAAGAAACATTTCTTAATTTTTAAAGGATTAAAAAGTGAAACAAAAAAAGATCATAAGAGACCTGCAAAGCAGATCCCTTTAAAGAAAATGCTTACAGATCTTCAGGAAATAGTTATTATTTCCTGAGAACCTAGTGCATGTTAGGGGTTATGCGTGCACTCAGTGTTTCTGTTATCCTCACAACCTGCAGAGATGGTAATATCCCAATCTTTTAAATGAGAGAAGTATTTGAAATGACCTACCAAATAGGTGACTAAATTTAGCATGTATTTAGGATCTTTTGCTATAAATCTGATTTTCCGTTTTGACTCTCAAATTATACTCGTTTTGATTAGTGGAAATTAGGTTAAAAAAAAAACTTAGGCTTTACAGTCACATAGCTTAAGGTTCAGTTCCTACTTTTCCATTTGTTGCTTTGTAATTTGGGCAAGAAACTAATCTTCTGAACCTCAGTTTTCTGTTTTAGTAATCAAGCATCAACCTTTCAGGGTTTATAAGATATATATGGAAGTAGCCAGTATAATATCTGACACATAGTAAGTAAATATTGTGTTAGTTATCAACCCACAGTTGGCAGGTAAGCAATTAAAACCTTTGATTAACATTTACAAAACGGAAAGGTGATGATATACCTTAATAGTATGTGCATGTGTGTTTAAAACATTGTTTTACTTTTCACCAGGTGGTGGCACTTTGCTCCTGTTTTCGCTCAGCTCTTATGGGTATTTAATGAGGTAGCTTTTAGACATCTAATTCCTTCCCTTTTATTTGTGTTACAGAAGAAACGCTGCAAGTACAAAACTGAAAAAATTGAGACCATAAAGCCTGCAGATCCATTGCACCCTATAGCCAATGGAGACATAAAAGGGAGAAAACCCTTTACGAACCAGAGAGATTTTTCTAACATGGGGGAAGTTTACCATTCTTCTTATAAAGGCCCTCCATCTGAAGGAAGCTCAGAAACTTCATCACAATCAGAAGAGTCCTATTTTTGTGGCATTTCAGCTTGCACAAGTCTGTGCAATGGACAGTCCCAAAAGACAAAGACTGAAAAGAGGGCTTTAAAACGAAGGCGATCTAAAGTCCAAGATCAAGGAAAATTGATAAAAACTCTAATACAGACTAAGTCGGGATCATTGCCAAGCCTGCATGACATAATCAGAGGAAACAAAGAGATCACCGTGGGAACATTTGGTGTTACAGCAGTCTCGGGACATATCTAATATTAATTGAACTTTTCATACTGGGGGCTTTTTTGTTGTTCCTTGAAGAACAGTCTGTGGTATTTGAAGGAATTGGGGGAGGGAGAAAATATTACTGGGAGAAGTAGTCAGAAATTACGGTTTCGCCTTTTTTAAAAGTAGATGCTGTTTTGTCAATCTTGGTTAATGAGCTACAGTTTTACAAGGCTGATCACTTCCTGTGAGAACAACAGTAGACTTTTTATAAAGATGTTTTTTTCACAGATAAATTACTGGGACAAAAGTAATTTGAGAGCCCAGTTCCTTGAGTGGGATAGGAATGAAAGCCTAACCGTCTTCCTTTAGCTTTGTTCCTATTTCTTGCACCTTTCCCATATTTATGTGCCTTTTGTCTATTTATAATGCCACTGGAAGAGGAGGGAAAACTTTTTCTGTCATTTGATTTCTTTTATAAATTTGTTAATTTTTTGAAGCCGCAAACACTACAAGGTTTAAGGCAGTCTGTGCCAGATGCTCAGTAGTGTGGGTTAGTGGTGTAAAGACCCCAGAGGACTTGCCAAACAAGTTTCTGTTTAACAAACTCACTGGAAGCACACATTTGCTGGAACATTTCAGTGTGTTCTTTTAGGTAGATGGTGATTCTCTGAATGTTATTTTCATTTAATTTATTTGGACAGGATTACTTTTTCCTTAGTTACTGACTCAATGAGAAAAAGCTGTAAGATTTTTTTCTTGCCCATGACTGCTATTTGCAAACAGATTTTTTTTATAAATTCACCTTTAAACACAACCAATTGTGAAGGTTTCTGTAGCTATGTTACATTTTAAACATTATACCATAAACACTAATCCTCCAAACTTTCACATCACTATTTTATAGAACAAATATAAAGAAGGTGAAGGCGTGACAGCTGAGTTAAGGTCTAATGTGGTGTAATCACTGCCTATATACATACGCTCAGAACCAGCTAGTGAGTTTGTCAAGCCTTGTCTAACTGGTCAAGTCTAAAGGGATTGTTGGTGTTTGCTTTGTATTGGCTACAATGTGCAGAGATACATATGTGTGGTGTCAATATGTTAGCCTTTGTTTTATTTTTCCTTTAAAAATTTTTGACAGTGACTGTATTTGAACACAGTGATTTCTTAGTGTGAGATTGTACAGTAATGAGTGAAAGTGGAACATGTTTCTTTTTGAAAGGAAGAGAATTGACTATTTTATGTTGTGAGATTTAAGTTATAACTTATTGAGCACTTTTAGTAATTTTTTGTGTAATACCTTTCTGGGGTATTATTTGTAATGTGACTTATTTAAAGCTCTTTTTGTTTAAGTTGCTGCTTTAGATTAACAGTATGTTTTAGGAGACTAATTTTTTTTTTCTAGTCTGCACAGTTAGCCATTCAGAGCAAGAGGGTTTGATTTTATGGAAGCCCCTTGAAAAAAGGTCCAGATGAGAACAGAGTCGGAAGTCACACCATCTGTGTGTTGGAGAGAGAAGACTTTCAATATGTAACTACAGAGCTGTAGTGCCATTAGAAACTGTGAATTTCCAAATAAATCTGAACACTTGTCTTTATTAATTACTGGCTCTTCCATCCTTTGAAAGAAAATGCACAAATTTTATTAATTTCTAAACATAGGCTTTATTTGCCACTTCGAAATGTCACATTTCTTTAAATATTAATCATAGTCAACAGCAAACTAATGTATCTTGAAATGAACATGTTTTTTCTTTATTTAAAAGATGTACATGCAGGCTGGGCATTTAGCTCAGTGGCATAAGCAACTGCCTGGCAAGCGCGAGGTCATGGGTTCGATCCCTGTTACCAAAAAAAAAAAAGATACGTATGTCATTTTTCTCTTTTATTAGGTGCCATCTTTCTCTCTCTCTCTCTTTTTTTTGTTTGTTTTTATTTTTGTCTTTGGGGGTTTTTTGTTGTTTTTATTGTTTGGTTTTTGGTTTTTCTTGAGACAAGATTTCACTCTGCAGTTCAGGCTGTCCTTAAACGCACTTTGTTGTCCAGGCTGGCCTTAAACTCACAGTGGTCCTCCTGCTTCAGCCTCCCAAGTGCTGGGATTACAGGGGTACTCCACCACATGTGGCTAGATGCCATCTTTAAAACTAGTAATTTTTAACTTTTCCATACTAAATAGCCCAATAACATTTAGTAATTTGAGTTTTATTTTTTCTCTCAGAGTATAACTACATTAAGGGAAAAAAATAGCACTTAAAGAATGAAAACTCTTGCCAGTAGATCTGTATCTGGTTAAGAAGCAAACTACACACAAGTTGACCATCCCTAAATTGATGTTCAGAATGTTCTCAGATCCAAACCTTTTTTTAGTATTACTCATTTGTGATCTTTTTGGAGGATTTGGAGCATTCTGGTTTTCAGATGAGGTGCCTCTCCAGCAAATACACAAATATTCCAGATCTGGTTCCAAGCATTTTGATAAGGGATATTCAATTTGTATGTATCCTAAGTGGATTTTCAGTGCTTTCTAATGACCAACCTCATTTTATTTGTTCTATTGTCAAATAATACATTAAAATGATATGAAATAAATTTGCCAGACAAGAATTAGTAAAGGCGAGAATGCAAAGTTAAATTTCATTTAATTGGAGTTTTAATATGTACTGAGGGTGTACAAAATTTGAAAAATTAAGTGGTTATACCAGCTTGTATACACTTATTTGCTCCATTGTTCCATGCTGTTACCCACTCATATCACCCAACATCATCTACTTTTCTCCACCAAGAATTTTTTGCTTCGCAGTGACCATTTTCACCTCTCCAACTACTGTCTTCTGCTGTTCAGCCAAGTATATAGCTCAGTGACACAAGTTCCTGCCTGGCAAGCACAAGGTCTTGAGTTTGATTCCTGGTACAAAAATAGAAGATGCTTGTCTTGTGTAGTTTATTGATTTTTCCAGTTTTCGATACATGCCCAATTTGAATATATGAACTCATTGGAACACACATGAAACATATTAAACTTGTATTTCTTAGCTTAGTTGAATAATTAAAAAATCATAGTATGTTAAGTTACATAACTTAGAAATACTGCTTTATAACAACATTTTATAGAGTAAACATTCACACACTTTCCTCCAACTTCATAATTTGAAAACTTTTGAATTCATAAAAAAGTTGAATGCGTCCCTGATTCATCAGCATTTTTAACTTTCTATACCTGTTGGCATGTTTTCACATTGTATGAAATATATATATTTAGGGAGTGAACCATTTGAAAAATTTGAGTTGACCCTTCACCCTAAATACTTTGACATATACTTTCCTAGGATAAGACATTCTCATGAGCTACATGACCAAATACTACTGTCATACCTAAGAAACAGAAATTTTCATATCTGATACATAGTATATAGTCAAATTTTTTCAGTTATCCCCTCATCCATTTATTTTCTTCATTTCTCTATTTGTACTCCAGCTAAGTTTCATTTACACTGCTTTATGACTGTACATCCATATATATTTTACCTGAATCATTTACTTTGTTCTGAATGAACTACCAAAGTGAATATCAAGAGCCTTTTTGAGGGAGGTGGGGGTACCTGGGATTGAACTTGCAACCTTGTGCATACCAGGCAGGCGCTTATGCCACTGAGCTAAATCCTTAGCATGAAGAGCCTTTTTGAGAAAGGTATTGATGTTATACAACACACCAAGTATTCATTTATATAACAAGACATTTTAAACTATCCTGCTGGGGTATGTCTCCATTATTTTAAACCATTTTAAACTATCCTGCTGGGGTACCTCTCCATTATTTTCCCCTTATTTTTAAAATTAATCTTTGGAATATTTATTTATAACAGTGTACAACTGTAAAGACTTCACTTGCACTTGTGAAGCCAGATACTCAGAAGCAAAAAAATTTTTTATGAGTATGTCAAATCTTAAATCCTAAGCAAATGCCTTCTAACATTTAAAGTGAAGGAGATACAAAGCAAGTTTTGGCCCTAGAAGGGTTCCAAAGGGCTAAGACTGGTTTAAGAGCAGATTTTCCTACTTGCTTTTTGCATTTTAAAACTGAATTTAGCATTGGAAAATCGCAAGATCACTGAGCATCAAGTTTCTCAAAGGATTGTTCCAAGTATGAAGTATGCTAGTAAGCAAGCATCATACTCCTGGTATGTAGTGCACACTCAGTGCAAAGCACTAATGTCTGGATGCTGAGGGTCCTCATCCCTGGCTTCCATGTATTTACCAGCAGGGGTCAACAAAGCAGATCATTGTGGTTGGTGCAAGAGTGCACCATCTATAGCCTCAGTGCACACTGTCATGTGAAAGGTCTACACAGAGTTTTAAACCCAATTTCTTTTACCTTTCCCATCTCTATGCCCCCCTATACCCGCAGTACTGTGGATTGAAACTATGGCTTTTTTTTTTTTTTTTTTTTTTTTTTTGGATACAAGATCTCACTGTCCAGGCCAGCATAGGTTCAAACTGTTGATCCTCCTGACAGCCTCCCAAAATCTTGGAATTACTGACATGTGCCACCACACCCTGCTTTTACCCACATTCTTGAGATTTCTCATTTCAGGACTATTGTATCATTCTTGATGATTTCAATGTCTAACATTCTTACTAATCTCTTAGCTTGTTTTCCAGACTATAATTAGCTACCTAGTCCAATGAATAAATTGTGGTTATCAACATACATAATCCTTTAATGCTAATTTCAGCCATCCAACTCTGATCACCATTGTCTATGTTTTCCAGTTCCTATGTCCTTACCTCACTCCCTAACTCTACAAATTCCTTTGTCTCATCCAAACCTACAATCTACTGGTCATACCATGTCTGCAGTATCCTTTATTTCCTTAAAGTCCTTACTCTTTGTAGCAAACTTGAATTCCTTAACTAGTCCTTGAAATTCTTCCCCTTCTTATACCTTTAACTTCCTTGTCTGACTCTTGCCTTGATGGACTTGCTCAGAAAAAAAATTCCCTGATGAAATCCAGTTTCTGCACATCTGTCTCCACAAAGCTAAGGTGGGCCAGGGAGAATCATGGTGACTATCCTCATGCCATTTCATGACTATCGATCTCAAAGATGTCTTTAAAACTGCTGATAGTCACACTACATTTTCTTAATCCATTGTCCCGCACTACTTTAAGCTTAGCCATTTCCGTGTCCTTAAGTCAGCTCATGACCTGTTTCACTGAGAAAAGATGAAAGTTACCAAGACTTCACACGCTCCTTCTTCCAGCCTTTGTCTTTATGATCTACTTCTGCTCTTGCTACTTAGAATGAACTGTCTCCTCAAAACCCAGGGCTCTGTTTCATTTCAGCTTCATGTTTTCCCCTCTCTCTCCTGTATTGTTTTACCTGTTAATATTGGTCACTTCTGCCAGCATATTAGAGTACCACGTTTTGCTTCCCAGTTCTGTTGAGCCTATGTTTCCCTCTAACTATTGCCTATTTTTCTGTTCCATTTTATAGGAAAACACTGACAGATACCTACCATCATCATCATTTCTCACCATTCTTTCTTGAACTCAGGTAAGCCATTAGAAAATTCAGGGCCAGGGATTTAGCTCAGTGGCATGAGCACTTGCCTGGCAAGGGCGAGGTCATGAGTTTGATTTCCAGTACAAAAAAGAAAATCCAGTCCCAGATAACAGGCAAAACTTGCCATTTCATTCTCACATAGGTCTACTCTGCTCCCAGGTAAACCCCGATGCAGGTTAGCAGCCTGAGCCACAGGGAGCATAGCTGACTTTTCTTGCTCCTTTGTCCACGGTTTGTCCCCTCTCTAAAGTTCAGACACTAGCAGGGTTATAGTAAGGAACAGAGACATTAAGGGAGCAAGCAAGTTTTCATCTGCCCAAGGCTGAGTAAAATGACTTTAAACTTTGAGTCTGGCAGACATTTAAAGATTACTTTTAAGAAAAAGATTGATGATTAAAGATTACTCATGATCACCAGTATTATTTCTTTTTTTTTTTTTTTTTTTTTTTTTTTTGAGGAAGCTCTTACTGGATTTTTCTGACCTGTGTTCCCTGGATATGGATGATACTCTAGTCTCTGGCTAATCATTTGTTCCTTCCCACCTCCCAGGCCAAGGAGCAGTCAGAACCCAGCAGAAAAGCCACAGCTGTTGAAGCTACACTTACCAGAGAGTGCAGAATCCAACTCCTGTTAGAAGCCTACCGTATGTTGTCCGTACTTTGTCTACAGAAAAACTTGAAATGCTGCCCAATCCAAACTGGATGCAAAACTCTTGGTTCACAATATTGAAGCAGCCAAAAAGCCTTTGTTTAAATGTTTACATTTTCTGGGTAGTAGACTGTTTTTGATTCTGAATTTCTTAGTTCCTTCCAAGGCTGGGGACCATTTGCAAAAGAACTGATTTCAGGCGTTAGACCAGTGAAATTTGCCCCATAAAGGTCTGTATTTTGCAATCACAGCTGGGTGAGACCTAGGCCTTGGAAATACACTGAATTCACATTCTGGATACTTACATGGGACAGTATGTTGCATTTAGTATCTGTCCTCTATTATTGTTTAAATAGTATCAAAAGTTTATAAAATAAGAGTTTCTAATAGGC